TAACAATGGTTGTAACGTCTAGGATTAATAGTTAACTAAATTTGCATTTTGACATTGTATGTAACTCTTATTAGATTGGTTACAATACACTGGTTACAATACACGATAAAAGAGTTGTAGATTAAAATTATTTTTAGTATAGGCAATACAATACAATGCTTGTAACTCTTGTTAGATTTGTTGGCTCTTTCATCATATTAAGGGATAAAATCCTATATCGAATAAAGATGAAAACATAGATCAATTTATAAAGGATTGTGCTACTCCTCTTAATAAAGTTGATCTTTTAAGATGGAACCCCAATTCTTAACATGGTATCAAAGCCCATTAACTTTAACGAGCAATTCGATCCGGTTAAGACTTCAAAAGTGAGCATACGGATTTCAAGATTGGTCTGCTCAAACAAGCCACCATCTTGCGGGAGCATATTAATTGATAAAATCCTACATCGAATAAAGATAAAAACATAGACCAACTTATAAAGGATTGTGCTACTTTTCTTAATAAGGTTCACCTTTTAAGATGGAAGCACAATTCTTAACACATCCCTTAAATAATTTCTAGATCAAAATTTTATAAAATCAATCACGATATCAATTCCATAAAATCAAGACTCGTCACTAATGAAGTATCTAAGAATGGAAAACAAAATTGAACCACAATCGCTAAAGTGCAGAGGAAAATCCATCATGGACAGAACTTATAAGAATGCCTTGGAGATAGTGGCTGGCCGATCCGAACCTTCAGTAACAAAAAGGGGATCCCGAAAAGTGGACCAATTACAAAAATTCAGAGTAAACTTATAATTGGGCTCAAAACAAGGTTGGATTATTCCAAAATAAACACGGAATAATTAGTGTTTGATAAGCATGTTTTTCATTGTTTTGCTTTCTAGCTGCATTAGAGCACACGGCTGCGGCCAGGGCGGGTCCTAGGCCCCCATTGAAATTTGAGAAAAATTCTTTTTGTATGATTTATTTTATGCTTAGTTTTTATTTTTAATAATATCATATTTATGTTTGAATTTTTTTTTTCGTACTTAAATTAGGCCTCCATTAAATTCAAGTTCTGACTTTGCCATTACTAGTATTTTTTTGCACATCACCTACATCTCTCTAGCTAGGATTAAGGTTTTGTTAAAGGATAAAATCTCACGTCGAATAAAAATGAAAATATAGACCAATTTATAAGAGTTTGAGCTACTCATGTTAATAAGGTTGACATTTTAAGATGAAATGTCAAATCTTAACATGGGATCAGAGCCCGTTAAGCTCCAACGAGCAATTCGATCCGATTAAGACTCAAAAAAATTGAGCACGCGAATTTCAAGATTGATCTCCTCAAATGAGTCACCATCCTGAGGGGACATATTAAGGGATAAAATTTCACGTCGAATAAAGATGAAAATATAAACCAATTTATAAGAGTTTGAGCTACTCCTCTTAATAAGGTTGACCTTTTAAGATGGAATCTCAAATCTTAACAGGTTTCACCTCACTTTTGCCACCTTCTATGGATTCCCTAGGACCTAGGTGGTCCAAAAATTCAAAAAAGATTCGATTAAAAAGATTCAGAACCCAATTTTTCTTGATTTTGGAGAATCATGATTCATACTTTTACATGGAAGATGAAGAAGAGTAGATCAAAGATAGAGAATTCATAAGAAATGCCTGATGCAGTTTTTGCTCAATTTCTCATCTAGGTTTCTTGTTGGAAAGTGAAGATAAAAATGTTGTGTTTTCTCTCCTTAGCAAAAACTTCGACAGTATTATTAAAGAAAAAAGTTAAAATCTTTTTGATATTAGCGTCCAATGTTATCGAGTAATAAACATGTACACACAGTCCTCTCAAGAGGTCTTTGATTTCATAAAATCCCTCCTAATTTAATTAAAGTATTGAACCTACTCAGTCGCCACAACCATATATATCTTTTTCAATGGATCAAAACTAATCGAGCTTTTTATTTTGCAGCAGCAAAAGAAGCTACAATATTATCGTTGCTATCAACATGAGATAAGAGTTACGATTCCAAGATTTTTTTCTTTGCCACGACAAATTGATGCAAGATATTTTTCTATTCGAACATCATAAAACTCTTTTACACTTTTTCCCTTTTTCTTTTTATTCAAACGAAAAAGCTCCAAACTGCCATGAATATTTACAGATAAATCAGACAAATAAAAACTGATTGCTGCTTTTAAAGGTCATTTTGGAATTATGGCTTTATTTTTAGGTTATTTATTCATATATCCTCCACTGTAAAAGCGACTGAAGTAGAAAATTTTAAGTTTCATTTGATAATTGGAAGATATTCAATCGTTTTGAAGTTTGAATAATATTATAATTTTTCAAAAAAAAAATTAAAAAATAAAAAAACTGGATTACAAAACGTTTTGATTGCAACGCATTAGTCGTTGTTTTCTTTTCAAAACTGATTAAAAAAAAAAAAAACAGTTTAATTTAGTAATTTTTACACATTTGTCTAGAAAATGTTGTAAAATTGATGTTGTAATTTTTATTTATTTTTTCACATTAATTTGGTTAAGTTATATCCATTATTTGCCGAGATTTGCACGTTGTGACATTGAAGTTTTTTTTAAAATGATATTCATTATAGTTTTTAACATTGGCAGTAACACTTGACATAAAAATATTAGTAACGGCGTATGTATCTATTATTACATGTATTGTAAGCTACGTTTTCACGATATGCATTGACGATATATATCAATGCTTGTAACGCTGGCTATAACAATGGTTGTAACGTCTAGGATTAATAGTTAACTAAATTTGCATTTTGACATTGCATGTAACTCTTATTAGATTGGTTACAATACACGTTAAAAAAAGTTCTAGATTAAAATTATTTTTAGTATAGGCAATACAATACAATGCTTGTAACTCTTGTTAGATTTGTCGGCTCTTTCATCATATTAAGGGATAAAATCCCACATCAAATAAAGATGAAAATATAGACCAACTTATAAAGGATTGTGCTACTCCTCTTAATAAGGTTGACATTTTAAGATGAAACCCCAATTCTTAACATGGTATCAGAGTCCATTAACTCTAACGAGCAATTCGATCCGGTTAAGATTCCAAAATCACGTATACGGATTTCAAGATTGATCTGTTCAAACGAGACACCATCTTGCGGGAGCATATTAATGGATAAAATCCTATATCGAATAAAGATAAAAACATAGACCAACTTATAAAGGATTGTGTTACTTCTCTTAATAAGGTTGACCTTTTAAGATGGAATCACAATTCTTAACACATCCCTTAAATAATTTCTAGATCAAAATTTTATAAAATCAATCACGATATCAACTCTATAAAATCAAGACTCATCACTAATGAAGTATCTAAGAATGGGAAACAACATTGAACCACAATCGCTAGAGTGCAGGCCGATCCGAACCTTCAGTAACAAAGGGGACCCCGAAAAGTGGACCAATTACAAAAATTCAGAGTAAACTTATAAATGGGCTCAAAACAAGGTTGGATTCTTCCAAAATAAACACGGAATAATTGGGCTCAAAACAAGGTTTGATAAGCATGTTTTCATTGTTTTGCTTTCTAGCTGCATTAGAGCGCACGGTTGCGGCCAGGGCGGGTCCTAGGCCCCCATTGAAATTTGAGAAAAAATCTTTTGTATGATTTAATTTATGTTTAGTTTTTATTTTTAATAATATCATATTTATGTTTGAATTTTTTTTTGTCGTATTTAAATTAGGTTTCCATTAAATTCAAGTTCTGACTTTGCCACGGATTACTACGTATTTTTTTGCACATGACCTACATCTCTCTAGCTAGGATCAAGGTTTTGTTAAGGGATAAAATCTCGCGTCGAATAAAGATGAAAACAGAGACTAATTTATAAGAGTTTGAGCTACTCATGTCAATAAAGTTGACATTTTAAGATGAAATTTCAAATCTTAACATAGTATCAAAACCCGTTAAGCTCCAACGAGCAATTTGATCCGATTAACATTCAAAAAAATTGAGCACGCAAATTTCAAGATTGGTCTCCTTAAATGAGTAACCATCTTGAGTGGACTTATTAAGGGATAAAATTTCACGTCGAATAAAGATGAAAATATAGACCAATTTATAAGAGCATGAACTACTCCTCTTAATAAGGTTGACATTTTAAGATGGAATCTCAAATTTGAACAGGTTTCACCCCACTTTTGCCACCTTCTATGGATTCCCTAGGACCTAGGTGGTCCAAAAATTCAAAAAAGATTCGATTAAAAAGATTCAGAACCCAATTTTTCTTGATTTTGGAGAATCATGATTCATACTTTTACACGGATGATGAAGAAGAGTAGATCAAAGATAGAGAATTCATAAGAAAGCCTGATGCAGTTTTTGCTCAATTTCTCATCTAGGTTTCTTGTTGGAAAGTGAAGATAAAAATGTTGTCTCCTTAGCAAAAACTTCGACAGTATTATTAAAGAAAAAAGTTAAAATCTTTTTGATATTAGCGTCCAATGTTATCGAGTAATAAACATGTACACACAGTCCCTCTCAAGAGGTCTTTGATTTCATAAAATCCCTCCTAATTTAATTGAAGTATTGAACCTACTCAGTCGCCACAACCATATATATCTTTTTGAATTGATCAAGACTAATCGAGCTTTTTATTTTGCAGCAGCAAAAGAAGGTACAATATTATCGTTGCTATCAACATGAGATAAGAGTTACGATTCCAAGATTTTTTTCTTTGCCGCGACAAATTGATGCAAGATATTTTTCTATTCGAACATCATAAAACTCTTTTACACTTTTTCCCTTTTTCTTTTTATTCAAACGAAAAAGCTCCAAACTGCCATGAATATTTACAGATAAATCAGGCAAATAAAAACTGATTGCTGCTTTTGATGCATTTTTGACAGGAATTTCTTATGCAAATTTCTGCAAAGAAAATTAATGCACAATGGAAATCTGTATGGTCAAGAATCCCGCAACGTGTATGAAGAATCAACTGAAATATGATTGACCATCATAAAGATCCTAAGAATAATATGAGATTCAGCAAATTAGACGATCAGAAAAATCTGAAGATTATATTCAAAGAGAGGAGGTACCTGTATCTTCAACTATAAGGAACAAACTTTTTATGGTATCTGTCTTGAAAAGTAACTTTAGAAGGGTTTGGAATCCAAGTAAAGCCCACCTTCTTTTGGACTCACAAGTTTAAATTTTTAGACGAGATCGTTTCAGTGCTTTACATAACTTGAGTTATGTTGAGGATATAATCTCTAACTAAGAGAGTAGTAGCAGTAATAATAATAATAATAAAAGATATCAGAGAACAACAATCAATACACAAATACGAGACTATGTCCACTTCATCGCAGATAATTCAAGATGATGAAGAAAGAGATTACAAAGTATTTTCACACACATACTATCTTGTATACTCAAAATTGACTCCTAAAATCCTTTATAAATTCGCCTAATCATACACGAGTGGACTACTCAATAGTATTTCTTCAAAAAAAGAAGAAGAAGAAGTGTATAGTACAATTAGGCTCCATACGTTCTAGCAAGTTTTAAGACTCCGAGCCACCTATTTATGAAAATTTTGCTCGTCCTCATGTAATGAAATAAAGAATCCGACCAGCATGTTACGAGGTGTCTTCACTCTAACAACTTAATCTTTTAAACGAGGTGTTTCAACCGTTTTTTGTTCAGAAAAGGTGGTCCACTTTCTCCTGTTTCTATAAATAGAGCAGCCACAGAACTCAAGTTGATCAAACAAGATTCAGCTCTCAATATAGTTTCTTGCTTGCCCACTCAGTTTCGTTTCCCCTCCAGTACACAAATTGTGAATTCAAATTCTTAAACAAATATTTCTTTGTTTACTCTCTTATCATTAAAGGGTACTCATTTCTCCATTTAACAGTATCCCAGGTATCAAAATATGGACAAGGTACAAAAATTATCATCCGAGAACGGTGTAGTTATCTTTAGCAAAAGTACCTGCTGCTTATCCTATTCTGTTCTTATGCTATTTAAAGAACTTGGGGTGATCCCTTATGTTCATGAAATTGATCGTGATCCAGAAGGAAAGGAAATCGAAAAGGCTCTCTTGAGAATGGGATTCAATGGCCCTGTCCCAGCAGTTTTCATTTCTGGGAAACTCGTCGGATCCACCAATGAAGTAATGTCCCTCCACCTAAGTGGTTCCCTGATTCCACAGCTGCAGCCATATCAGGCTTCAAATTAAATCCACTATACAAGTATTGCTTGACAAATGGGTATTGACGGGAAGTGGTCCATCGACTTCTAACGTCAACGAGTATAATATTAGGGTTTGTTTTAAATCTACTGCAGAAAGTATTGTTCAGATATAATTCGAAGTTGACGCGAACGTCAATGACTATAATATTAGAAGAATAAGATTGGCTCTATTACTATAAAGAGCTCTTGATTGAAGTAGATTATGTCTGTGTCTTTGATAGTTATTAGTAGTTTCAATTAGCATAAGCATGTAGCTTGTGTCAAGCATTCATTTGCCTAGTTAAAGAGTGGATTCTGTTGTGTGTCCTAATTAAATGAAGTTAATAATGGTACTTAGTTGTGAGTATTATAAACCTTTATCTCATCTAATTTATTAGAGGAGTATATTTATTTATTTAAATTTAGTCTTAATTAAAAAACCTCTTTACTTGCATACCACAATCATTTTCTCATCGAAATCCATACAAGTTGTCCTGCTCCAAGGAGATGGTGTCAAGCGAACTACTTGTCGTTGGCATTCGGTGAGGAGCATTGTTTGGAGGGAGCATAATTTATAGAGGACTTGACATGTTTAGGCTTGCTTGAACAACTTTTTCCTTTAAGAAACAAGGTGAGGTGGTTACAAAACTAAAGAGGACATATAGGGAGATATGGAACAGAAGCCAAGATCTGACAACAATACGAACGTGTTCGTTGGTCAAAATTCTTATTTTTAGCCCCAGTTTGGTGGAGATTAACATCATATTTGTAATAAATTTTGATAAAAGTTGATTAAATGTGTGATAAAAATTAAAGTAGTGGATACTATGAAATATGTTGTTAAAATTCATTGTTGACTTTGATTTAAATTAAAATCTATATTTTAATAAAGAGGACATATAGGGAGATATGGAACAGAAGCCAAGATCTGACAGCAATACGAACGTGTTCGTTGGTCAAAATTCTTATTTTTAGCCTCAGTTTGGTGGAGATTAGCATCAGATTTGTAATAAATTTTGATAAAAGTTGATTAAATGTGTGATAAAAATTAAAGCAGTGGATCCTATAAAATATGTTATTAAAATTCATTGTTGACTTTGATTTAAATTAAAATCTATATTTTAATTTATGCCAAACAGTAGCTTATAAGTAAATAAGAAAGCGTTTTGACTCTAGCCATATGATACCATGTTAAACCAATGAACTATATTAGAGTTTTTTCTGTTATTTTTAGTTAGAGATGACAAAAAAGTTTGCCGGCTCGGGTTAGGCCCGGAAAAAGCCCGAGCAAGGCAAGCTCGTGGCTCGGTTTCACCGAGCCTCGGGCGGCCCTTACGAGCCAACCCGTTTAAAAAAAAATTAAAATTTACTACTGTAGGCAGCTAGTACAGCTGCGTGCCTTAGCTGCCTACGTTGCATGCAACGAAGAAAAAAAAAACCCAAGCCGACTCGGCTCGCTAAGGCACGAGCCGACAGCTCGGGCCAAGCCCTATTTTTTTGATTGAGCTTTTGCTCGACTCGACTATAGTCCAAAAAAGTTTGGACCCGTTTTGCTTGAGCCGAGCCCAAGTTTTGAGTTTCAGTTCGTTGACATAGCTAACCATTGGCTTGTAAAACAATTTAAATATAGAATTAAACATGTTTTTTTTATTTATGTTTCAATGAGAAACAAGTATTTCAAATTGTTACACTTCAAATATGTGTGGAAACCCCTCAAGTGCTAAAATAAAATGAAACAATATTGTTTCAATCACATTGCACATAAAAGCGTGTTTTTTTACTTTCATAAGAACAACATGTATAGTATGAACATTTTTTTTTTTAATTGTTGAAAAGATCTATTTCTATCCACACTTGGGACTTATTTGAATTTTCAAATTATATCGATGACCAATACTAAAATAGACTTACAAAATAAGTCACGTGTCTTAATTGGTGTTGGCATTGGCGGACACAAGGGGGCTGGGGTGAATTATAAGATATGAAATGAAATCGAAATATTGTATTCTTAATATTATTTTGAAATGCTCACGGTCTAATTTTTTATGTCGTTAACAGCGTGCGAAACGACCAATCGTAAAAAATGTTACGACTTGTCAAAGTAGGCGATTTAAAATTAGTATTTCGAGAATCTCGATAACATGCTAACTTTAAAAATTCTCCGACGATCGTACAGTAGTCGAATCTACAAATCTCTTATATCATCTCAAAGCTCGTTTCGAGAACTACATAATAGGCATATCGAATAGTTCAAACAGATATCGAAAATAGTTAAAGATGCGTCAAACGTACATCTTAAAAAGAGGTGTCTAACTCGCATTTTTTAAAAAAAATTAATTATTTTATTAACATTTATTGTTTTTGTGATACAAATTTCTCAATGTAATTTGCATTATTTTATTATGGAATTTATATAGGATATGACATCAAAAATTTTCGAAATTTTACATCCGAAAAAGTCTATTCCATGTAAATTTTCGAATGCAAAATTAAAAGGGGTATGATTTTTTTGGATGTAAATTTTCGATTGTAAAATTTCTCCCAACTTTTTTACAAGTTCGATTGTGCCCCCCAAATTTATTTGTCTGTGTCCGCCCCTGGGTGTTGGTGCTGTCTAGAGGAAGCCCTAAATAAATCAAATTAGCTAGGCGTTTATGTATGAACATAACAAATTACATATACATAGAATAAAGAAGACTTGTCATAAATGATTATTCGAACTTTATATCTGTAGAGCATTTAGTCATTCCCGTATTTTGTCAAAAAACATTAGTAACTCATAAAGAAGAATAGTAATGAATTTCATGATATGTGTGGATAATAAACATGTGATAGTTATGAAGGTGATTGAAATTAATATATCGCTTTGACTAAAAACTACAAATTACTAGTAAATCATCGGGTCATCAGGTTGTAATTCAACCGGCGGGTCATTGCAAGGTCGAATTTTAGTTAAACTTTTTTTTAAAACAGAGATTAAAATGGAACATATACAAATTTGTTACATTTATTGTTAAGACTCCATCAATTGTCATAGTGGTCAAGCTTCCCATAATTCTTGAGGTGTGTAAAAATTCAAATCCTCCCAACAGCAAATTTGATTTAAAATTTTGCTTTCAACCTATTTGGTAACTAATCGATTCAATCTAAATTGGATCTGGTTCAAGACAAACTCGTTCGGTTCGGACGGTTCTTAACCAATTCAATTGCTAATGAACCAATTAATGCAAACCGAACCGAACCGAACCACTATCCAGTTCTTGAGCTGGGTCGGACCAGATTGATTTTAATAACTATGGTTAGAATGACTTGAAATTTTAAACTGAAAATCCATATGTACGTTGACATGATTTTGACCTAACCGATACTTTCAACTTTATGAAATTCCATAAAGTTGGAACATAAAATTCTCCACTTGTGTAATGAGTAAGCCATGAATTCAACAGCTTTTTCTTAGATGAGGAAAGATATAAAATTCTTGTCAACTTTTTTCATTTTTCTTTAAGAATCTTGGTATACTATTTTATATATATATAGATTGAAGTTTGGGTGTTCATATGAGTTGTAATTGTGTAAAGAAAGTTGTCATGTTTTAAAAGGTTGCCAGACAACAAGGGTCTCACTTTGAAGTTGTGCTTCTCTCAGTTATTGTTCGAGATTTTTCTTCCCAAAGTGCTAAGAATATTCCTTTCCGTTCAATATGTATCTAGCACGCTACTAGTTTAAAGTGGAAAATTGGACATAAATTTTGGAGTAATGCTATGTTATGATGACATTAAGTGATACTAAATAATATGCCTAATTAAACGAGTTCAATAATTTCACTAAAAAATTGATAAGAATTTAAATTTAAATTTAAATTAACAATTAATTTTAATCGCACATTTTATGAGATTTATAACTTTTTAACCACCTATTTTATCAATTTTTATCAGATTTTTTTAACTCAGTGGTTGAATAATCCGGTGACTGGAGATCTATATATTTTAATTATAAAGAGATCATACACTCATTCCAACTCTTTTTTGTCACGTGATCAAGTGACTACATCAACATATATCAAGGTAAATATAAGCTATTGAGGTTTCTGTGGTTATTGTTTCGAACTGTATTACCACTGCTTGTATATGTAAACAGTGTGTAGAATTTGTGAAATTATGTATGCATTATATTCAATTTGTGAACTCTGTTTTCAATTTTTTGACCAACCGGTAGAATTTTATTATTTTTAATTTTAGAGTTCTAAACTTGTTGCTCTAAAAGTACTTTTCTAAACATAATTATCATGGAAAACAATTTATAACCAGTTTTTTGCGTGTGACTTGCTGCGACCAAGTTTGTGTACACTGTCTGTGAACACGTCTCTATTAGATGCGACTGTTTGTGGCCTGTAATGAATTGAGTATAACCTACTGTTATTCACGTTTGCAACGAATCAGTAGAGTTTTATTATTTTTAATTTCCCAGTTCTAAACTTGCAATTGTAAACATAATTATCTTGTAAAACAGTCCATGATCAATTTTTAACGTTAAGTTGCTATTGGCTATGAGATAGTAGTGATTTTTTCATTAAATCTATCTTAATTGTGAATGTATGTGACATGTTCTGTGTTAATAGTGACTTTCTGTGACCATTTTTTGCGTTAATTGTGGCTCTTTATAACCAAGTCTGCTTTGATAGTTTGTGAGCATGTTTGAGTTAGTTGTGAGTGTTTGTGACCTTTAATGCTATAAATGTGCTGCTATTATCTATCTAAGAGTATAATTTTTGTCAAAAAATTTTGTTTTATAGGAAGAAGATGGCTATGAAAAATGGTCAAATATTATACATGCTAACTAATAGATACTCTACCATGACATCGAATATAGTTGAATCTATGAATGCATTACAAGAGCGGCAAAAAAACTTCCATATTGAATCACTTTTAGAGTCATTGTCGACAAACAGTCCAATCTTGATTTTGCAAGAAGTGGGAAAATTGAAGGCAAATAAACAATCAAACAAAT